TCATCACTGGTTTTCATAAAAAGAGTCATTTTTGGTCTTTCAGTGATTACTATTTTAAGGCTTCTTTTTTAGTTAAAAATGACTATTTTCTATTCTAAATCAAAACAGGTGTTGAAAATGTTTCCTTAAAAACTAGAAAATGTGAGTCACAATAAAGATGAAAAATATACTGAGGACTCAACATATATCTAGTAATTTTTTCTTCAGTGTCATTTTTCTTTTACTTATTAATGCAAATACAGTTGTTCCCAAATTATGGAGGCTGAATCAGCAGCACTGTCAAGACCTGGGGATAGGTCGGAGGTGCACAGTCTGGTCTGGTCCCATTCCAGATCTACAGGATCAAACTCTAGTTGGGGCTAGAGAACTTATTTCAACTATCAGTTCACCCAAGGCATGCTAAGGTCTGAAAGACAGGACTGAAATATACATTCTATAAGGTTTAAAAAAATAATATAAATTTGTTTCAGGTTTATTTCAAAAAATTTATTCTTTTATATCTTAGAAAAGCAAAAACGTCTCAGTTAACTCACATAAAAACTGTAAGTGCACAGCAAATCAAAACCATGAATTTTCATTCTTCTTAATTTTCCACTTTCACTTTCTTTAGGTTGTTACATTTCTATAATATCAGTAGAAATGGGATGAAGGCTAACTTAGGACAAAAATTATGACAGGTCAAGGCAAAAGATCTCATCAAACTTTTGCAACAGAGGGCTGGGGATTTAGCTCAGCGGCAAAAGCGCCTGCCTGGCAAGCGCAAGGTCGTGAGTTCCCGGTACCGGAGAAAAAAAAAAAAAAAAAAAAAAAACTTTTGCAACAGAAAAATATAACTCTAAAAATTATTTTGATATAGTGAAAGTAAACCAAAGAATTATAATGGATAATTTATCGTCTATGAAGAGACGAACTATAGATACCCGTTGTCCTTGGCGGTTACAGCAGTACCCAGTGTATGTATAATACAGGAAACTAAGAACTTCAGTTACTTCACAACTTGTAAACTTTGCCCTCTTTTAGAAACAGCTAAATCATTTGCCATTTTATCTTCTAATCTCCACACCCTATGGCCTAGTCAACCATCAGCAAAAACAAATGTAAAAGCCAGGCTAGCTTCCAGTCGGAAGCAGAATAAAGCCATGGAAGGCAGTGAAACCTCCACTTCAATGCACTCTTCTGAGGAAGCAGGCCGTCTACCCCTGAGGAGAGGGAGCGTGGACTTTCCACGGTGTTCCTGTGACAGGTCAGGCCCTCACCAACAGCTCCTCTACATACAAGCTGCAGGTGTGCGCCCGCACTGTGGAGAGAGGGGTGCAGACGCACTGCGGCAGCAGCAGCACAGGAGGCAAAGGAAGTCCCCAGAGGGCGGGGGCCCAGAGCTTCCAGAGGAACTCCGCAGCCCTAGGCAATGCAGACCACTCACTTCCGACTTCGGTTTACCGTGCAAAACTTTTAGAATATTTCTGCTACTATAAGAAAAACTCCAGAACTACTTTTCTTTTTTGCTGTGAGACTGGTACTGAACTAGTTTGAGTGGCCTTCAAACTGTGAGGGCAGCTCAGAAACATGAACAGAGCTCTGTGTTTAGGTAATTTATTATCCAAATGCAGTCAATAAACATGAAAATAATTAAAAATTCCAAAAAGTAAAAGGGTGAGAACAATGCCATAACTGTCTTTGACAATGACAGGACTTTTATATGGGCGAACTTTCCAGATAATCAAAATTTAAAGGGTAAATCCAAACACTATTCATTTTTTTCCAGTACTGGGGATTGAATGCAGGGCCTTCACACTAAGCTCCATCTCCAGCCCTTCTTATTTTGAGATAAGGTCTCACTAAGTTGTCTGGGCTAGCTCAAACTTCTGGTCTTCCTGCATCAGACTACCAGAAAGCTGGGGTTACAGGCTGTGCCACCATGCCTGGCCTATTTTAATATTTGTGATGAAAATTTTCAAAAGTATAAACATTCCCATCTTTTTCTTTCTCTTTGCAGTGCTGGCAAGGGAACCCAGGGCCTCACACGAAGAGAAAAGCACTCCACCAATGAGTTACATCCCCGGTCCAGCACTTCAGTCTTAATTTTATTTGTTTTTGGGTTTGGTGCTGGGGATTGCACCCAGGGCTTTGTGCACGCTAAATGCGCACTCTACCACTAAGCTATCTGCTTCCAGCCCCTCAATTTTTAAATAGAAACTAACAGTCACACCTGAAGTTTTCCTGACGCATTTATAATATGAACTCCAACTACCTCTCAAAGACCTTATGCTAAGTAGCTTTTCTGGTTTCTTTTATAGCAGCTCAGCTTTGCACAGTGGCAGTATCGTAGCCAGTGAGATTTATCTGAGGCACGATTATTGCTAGAGCAGCTATTCTAACTCCTCTGTTATTCTAGTCAGTCATCACAGAAACCCTTAAATGTCTGGTCCCTTTCCATAGATATCCCCCACATCCCACACCTGTCCTCTTTCCACTAAAAAATTCCTCTTCTAAAATAGCTAATAATAGTTAAAATTAGAAGATAACTATTTTTATAATAGAACACTTGGAAAATGAAAGGGGAAAATTATCCAGTGCCCATTTTTTCTTCTTTTCCCAGCCTAGATTAGTACAATGACAGCCAGGCATGGTGGTGCACCCCTGTAATCCCAGCATTTGGGTGGCTGAGGCAGAAGGACTGCCATGAGTTTGAGGCCAGCCTGGGCTACATAAGCAAGTTCAAGGCCAGCCTGAATTACATAGTGAGACCCTGTGAAAGGAATGAAGGAAGGAAGGAAAAGAAAGAGAGAAGGACTAAGGGTATAGTTTAGCAATAAAGTGTTTCCTTGGCATGCATGAGTCTCTGGGTTTGATTTTTCAGTAATGATAAAAGGAAAAAGAGAAATGGCAGGGAGAGAGAGAGAGGAAGGGAGGGAGGGAGAAGACAAGGGGGAGATACACAGAAAGACACACAGACAGATAGAGACAGAGAGACAGAGAAAGCTTAGTGAAAACAGCCTTCAAAACCCTACAATAAGGTACAGTGGTGTGCACACCTGTAATCCCAACTATCTGCAAGGCTGAGGGAGGAAGATCTCAAGTTTGAGGCCAGTCTGGGCAACTTAGCAAGACTCTGCCTCACAATAAAATTGTAAATAAGGGATAGGAATGCAGCTCATGGTAGTGTTCTTGCCTAGCAGGTGAAAGTCCCAGGGTTTGAGCCCCAACACCACCATAAAAAACAAAAAAAATCAAGCACCCAAAGAAAAGTTATACACAGCTAACAGTCAACATGTGAAAATCTAATAAAGTTAGGTGGTATACGTTTGAAACACTGAGCAACAAAAATACCAGAAATACAATACTTGGACTAAAAAAACTCCCACTATTTTCAGCTAATAGTCATCCAACTTCAAACATGAGACTCTGAGAATATGGCTATGCCAGCTGACGTGGTGGCACACACTGGTAATCCAGCACTGTGAGGTTGAAGCAGGAAGATAAGAAGCTCAAACCAAGCCTGGCTGATTCTGAGACTTAGGTCCCACCCACTAAAAAAGCGGCAGGGATGCAGCTCGGTGCAAAGGCCCAGTACCAAAAAGGCAAAACAAGAGATTAAACATAGCAGCTCACAAAAGGAGTACCCATCACAGTCTATCAATGTATCTACTAAAACTGAAAAAGTAAAGCCAAAGACATTTGACCTTTGGAACAAGAAAAATGCTTTATGTGTTATCTTCAATACACATTATCTAACAGTTTATGACTGTAATGGTACTAGAAGTTACACAAGGCACCTAACTCATCAGGTAAGATTTGGTTACTCATTTCTTAAATGAGTCCCATTTCATTCCTGTGCTAAGGTGACACAACTATGTTCCTGAACCTCTAGTTTCAGGCAGACTAGGATAGTTAGCCACTCTAACTTCTGGTCATATCAAAATTTTTGAGTGAGAGAAAAATTCTGAGATTAATGAGTAAACTACCTAATTTCACAGAGGAGAAAAGTAAGGAGCTCTGTACCTTCAGAGTACAAAGAAAAGCTGCAAGTCATTAAAGTGTTCCAGTTTGTCCACCCTGCAACTACCGCTTGGCAGATCGGACTGGTGGTATTCCGGCCCTTTATAACTACTTGAAGTGAGGAAAGCCTCCCGCTCTCCCCAGTTCTGACTCCACACACACAACCCTCTAGCAATTTTGCAGGCTTTCCTGTGGTGATCAGCTAACAGGGCTGCAGGCACAGCTGATGTCCAAGTGTGCGGCCAGTGAAGTGGCCCTGCATCCAGGGCCATACATTATATCCCTTTCCTAGTTCCCTCCTTTGAACGCAAAACTTTTACAACTGGCCTCGCATTGTGCAATCAATCAATGAACATTCACTGAGCAATGTGAGGAACTGTGCTAGATACTAGAAAAAGTAAATAAAATGTACTCAGCCTCATAAGAGCATTAAGAACAAAATATGTAAAGTAATAATGTGGACTCTGAGGTGCTTCACTTCAGGAAGTCGGAGAAGGTTTTAATTGAGAAGTTGGTATCTGACAGAAAGGGAGGAGACGTATCATCCATGTCTTTAACAGTCCCATGGGGCTCAGGGTATAGGGCTTGGCTAGCATGAGGGAAGCCCTGGGTTTGATTCCCTAGCAGAACAAAACAAACACAAGCAACAACAAACACAAACCAGCCTTGTCTCTCCTACCACCAAAGGGACCAAAGGGTATAATGCTTTGTTCTCAGTCGAAGTTCAACAAATACATTAAGTTTGGCAAGTCAAGAAAGCCTGTCCTAGCTGGGCATGGTGGCGCATGCTTGCAATCCTAGCACTCAGGAGACTGAGGCAGGAGGGTTGCTGTGAGTTCGAGGCCAGCCTGAGCTACATAGTAAGTTGAAAGCCTGAACTACATAGTGTGACCCTGTCTCAAAACACCTAAACAAAAAAAGGCCCCCAAGCATCTCCCGGAGATGAGGGCAGGGTTAACTAGATCCTCTAGCAAGAGAACTTTCAGAGGCTGACACGGTACCTGGCTACGTACAATACTGCTCAGGTGGCTGTCTTCAGACATCTGTGCATTTTGGAAGTAGGACAAGGGCGCAGGTAACTCTGTCATTGGAGCAACTGTATAGAAATACTTTTTCACAGAAAACAAAGCCTCTTGGGGGTCTAAAAGGAAAAAGAAAACAGAATGTTGTGCATTACGATTACACTCTTATTTTTTAAATACTCTCATCATAAATTTCATTCAGCAGAAACAAACCTTTCTCTCATATGTTCTCCCCTAGGCCACGCTGATCTCGGACCTCAAGGGCTGCTGTCGCTTGCAGTCTCCTGGATTAGGTCTGAAATCAAATTATACTGTCATTCATAGTTGGTCAAATACTAGTAAATCCATTCATACCCATCAAATACTTACGTGCTTATTTGTAAACCAGAAATGTTGATTTGCCCCGACCTTCAACTGATAAATATATTATCAGTGGAAGACACCTCCTCAACAATGAGCTCTCAAACACAAAGAGACTGCCAGGCGTGGTGGCACATGCATGTAATCTTAATAGTGCATGCTGAGGCAGGAGGATCACTGTGAATTTGGCCAGTCGGGGCTACATAAGTGAGTTCAAGGCCAGCTTGCATTATGTAGTGAGACCCTGCCTCAAAAGAACCACATTTTTTAAAAAATATAAAAATACCTAATGATTTCAGATTCAGAGCAAATGGAATTGACTGATTTCATGGAATTTTCCAATGTTTCTTTTTCTATGCTGACCACTCCAACCTAATTTTTATATCTGCATAAATTCTTTGTGTAGTGTTTCTAACTTTGTAAAATTCTTCCTGCCATGTCATGTTATTTCATACTCATCACAACATCCCACAGCAGGATGGATAGGTAACATACCTATTTTATAAAAGCAGAAGAGGGTGTGCAGAAAGATACTGAGTATATTAAGTGATAAAAGCAAACTGCAGCTCACGTTTTTTAAAACAGTCTAAAAGTGGGCCAGGGGTATAGCTCTGCACATGCACAGAGAGCATGTGCTCAGCACATGAGACCCGGGGGTCAACCCTGAGAACAACGACGAAAACGCAGCAGTGCATCCAGAAAAGTCCAGTGAGTTGCTCACCACATACTCAGAGTCAGGCCGACCGTGACAAGAATCAGACTCCTGCCTCCCAGCCTCTGGTGGCTCCTTTGCCCAGGAACAGCCTATCACAGACAGGACTGTCTCTCACCCCACCCGAGAGCCACATTCCCACTGTCCAGCTACCTTAATTTCCACAGCCAACTCTGTAGGACTTCGACTTTCCCTCTTCATAGACAGTCTTTACAACTATAGAAGATCTGTTTATATACTTAAGCATATTTCCTTTTTTTCTCGGTCTTTCTGAGACAGGGTTTTGCTATGCAGTGCAGGCTGTCCTTGAACTCACTTTGTAGTCCAGGCCGGCCTCAAACCCACAGCGATCCTCCTGCCTCAGCCTCCCGAGTGCTGGGATTACAGGCGTGCGCCACCATGCCTGGCTCAAAAAGTGTATTTCTAGTTTCAATCAATGTTGCATTCTTACATCTGGTAAGCAACTCTGTTGAAGATAACAATATGTAATATAACAACCATTGTTAATTCCTATCATTTTGTTTTGAAATTCTGTATCGTTTTTATTGTTTTTGTGTGTCTCAGTCTTCAAGTAGCTGGGATTATAGGTATGTACCTCCGCTCCAGGCTCATTTCCACTTTTTAACTTCAGGATTTTCTAATCTTTAAATATTCCATTTGTTTCATCTAATACTTTGTCAATAAAATGCATAAGGTGGCTTTGTCCTAATATAAAGGTATCGAGTTCAAATCAACCCTTATTTACCTATATTCAGACGATCTAAATCCTGGGAAGTTTTCCGGAGGTGCCTGGGATGGAACTGCGGGCCCTGTGCATCCTAGGCAGGTGCTCCACTGCTGAGCTGTGTCTTCAGCTCAAGGCGAATTTTTCTTGTTCAAACTCATTTAGCAATTTAGAACCTTTTTCTACAAAATGGCTCATTTTTCAGCCTAAAAAAGTCCAGTTTAAGTAAGTTTTTCCCATTTTTTTCTTTCTGTTCAACCAGATAATTCCAAGTTATCAGTTAATGCCTCAAGTACACGAGGAGCAATAGTTCTGTGTTTTTGTTTGCTCCATTTTTCATTTTTAAGCACACATTTGCAGTACATGATGCTTGCATTCCTTGTGTGAAGGTGATACATGTACATCACGTCTCAATTCTCTCTCTTCCTTGATCTCCCTCTTCCTCTAACTCTTGATTCCCTTACGGTCTGAGAAAGAACCATCATCTATCCATCCCTACTTCCTATTATCTTTTATTTTGCTCTTTATATCTTGGGTTTCTCATGTAAGAGAAACCATGAGATATTTAAGCTTGTGCATCTGATTTATTTCACTTAACATTACAGTCTCAAGATGTATCCATTTTCCCACAGATGATTCAAGTTTATCCTTCTGTATGGTAGAGGAGAACTCCATTGTGAGTAAACACATTTTCTTCATTCATTCATCTGTGCGTCCTAGGCAGGTGGGCTACAAAGTGAGCTCAAGGCCATCCTGAACTGCAAAGTGAGCTCAAGGTCATCCTGAACTGGGACACATAGGCTGCTTCCAAGATTTAGCTATAACGAATTGAGCTGCTATAAACACATAGATAATGTCTGTACTATGATGTCTTTAACTCATTGGGGGGATACCTAGAAGAGTAACTGGTTTGATAGATTTTCTTTTTTTTTTCATTTTTTGTGGAATTTCTACAGTGGTTGTACTAGTTTACATTCCTGCCAACAAGGTGGAACAGTTCCTTGTTACCCACATCCTTGGCAGTATTTATTACTATTTGATTTGACGATGTCCATTCTTTCTGGGGTAAGATAGAATTTCAGTGCTGTTTTAATTGCATTTCTCTAATGGCCACGATGCTGCACATTTCTTCATGTATTTGTTGGTCATCTGTACTTCTGAGAAGTGCCTGTTCATTTCACTTGCCCATTTTTTGACTGAGTCTTTTATTTAGGGGGGTATCTAATATTCTTAGTTCTTTATGTATTCTAGATATTCTTCTGCCTGAGGAATGGCAGGCAAAATTTCTTACCATTCTGAGGGTTTGTCTCTTTACTAAGTTGATAGGTTCTTTTACTGTGTGAAAGCTTTATTTATTTTGTCTTTTTGAGACAAGGTTTCACTATGCACTTCAGGCTGGCTTTAAACTCACTTTGTAGCCCAAGGTGGCCTCAAACTCACAGTGATCCTCCTGCCTCAGCCTCCCAAGTGCTGGGATTACAAGCATGCACCATCATGCCTGGCAACAGCTTTTTACTTTAATATGACACCATTTGTTGATTTTTGGTACTATTTCCTATACAACTGGCATTCAGAAAGTCCTTGCCTATGCCTACAATTTTAAGAGTTCAGCTGGGCATGGTGGCACACACCTGTAATCCCAGCACTCTGGAGGCTGAGGCAGGAGGATTGCTGCAATTCTGAGACTAGCTTGGGCTACAAAGTGAGCTCAAGGCCATCCTGAACTGCATTGCAAGACTCTGTCTCAAAAAGACAAAAATAAAAAAATAAATAAAAAGTTTTACCTATTTTATTTTCCAGCAGATTGTTTCTGTTTTACATTTTGATCTTTGATACATTTTTACTTTAGTTTAGTACATGTTGAAATAAATGGGTACAGAATCAATCGTCTGCACATGAATAGCCAGTTTTCCCAGCACCGTTTATTAAAGAGGCTATCTTTCCTCCAGTATATATTTCTGGCCTATCAAAGATCAAATAGTTGACTACCCCGAGGTTGTTTCTGGACCCTCTATTCTGTCCCACTGAGCCACATGCCTGTTTTTGTGCCAGCACCATGCGGTTTTCATCACAGTAGCTTTGTAATGTAACTTCAAATCCAGGATTATGATGTGTCCTGCTTTGCTCTTGTTACCCAGGATTGTTTCTGCTATTGTGGTTCTGCTCATGACAAAGCTCTAACCAACACAAGTTTTCCCTCTATCCTACATGCTTTTTTATGCCCTATCCTCCTTTCTTGTCCCTTTCTCTTTAGCCCAGTCAGCTGTCATGGGGCCAGAGAACTACACAAATTTGCTTAAAATATAAAGTGGAACTTAGACATGGTGGTATGCCTTGTAACCAGTCACACCACTTTGGGAGGGTGAGGTAGGAGGTTGTAAGTTCAAACTCAGCCTGAGCTACATAGCAATTTAGACCCTGTCTCAAAATTTTAAGTTATTAAAAAGGTGCTGAGATGTAGCTCAATGGGAAGCCCCTGAGTTTTAGCTGCAGTACTGTAGAGGGAAGGAAGGAATTTAAAAATTCAAATAGATTTTCCTATGAGTAAACCTATACTTGGGTTAATCATCCATTTGTATGTTTGTTTGTTTGTTTGTTTGAGACGGAGTCTTACTATGTAGCCCAGGCTGGCCTTGAACTCACAGTAACCCTCCTGCCTCAGCCTCCTAAGTGCTGGCATTATAGGCATGCACCACCATGCCTGGACCTATCTATCTATCTATCTATCTATCTATCTATCTATCTATTTATTGGTGGTACTAGGAATTGAACCCAGGACCTTCTCACTGAGATATATTCCCAGCCTTTTTTATTTTGAGACAGTCTCACTAAGTTGCTCAAGCTGAACTCAAATATGCATTCCTCCTGCCTCAGCCTCTCAAGAGTGCTGGGACTAAATGCATGTACCTCCATGTCTGGCTAAGTTCTAGCTTTTAAAGTATAAGATAAAAATTAAGATCTGGCAATATGTGTATTAATATACCCAAGAGAGAGATGGAAAGAACAGTTGTTTTCAAAAGCCAATATATGTTCAAAATAAAACTAATGCTTACAAATAAATGAGGTCTTTAATAACTATTTTAACTGTAAACTAAAACCTGGAACACCAAAAAAAGCAACCTCTGTGCACAGTCCTAGAACTGAGTTAAAAGAATAAGCTATCGTGAGACCTGGCCATTTCATTTTATGTAGTTTTCTTCCTTATCCTTATAGGATCTATTTAGCTACTACAAGAAACCATACAAACTGACCACCACTATTGGAACCTTCTCAGACAACTCTTTTCTTTTTGGTACCGGTAACTGAATCCTGGACAACTCTTGTAAGAACATGTGTTATGGCTCTATCTCGATGGCCCCAAAGCCTCATGGGCTTTGAGAGCTGGCTGGATCCACAGCAGTGGTGGTGAACCCATGGCATGCTTGTCTTTCATTTAAGATGAAAGATGTTAATGTATGAGTTGATTTTTTTTCTAAACTAAAACCTCAGGATGCAGGTT